CTTGATGTCCTTTTCCTCCCTGCCCCCAACCCAGCACCAGGGCCCAGGACATCCTTCTCTTGCTCTTTCAGCAACAGGGATGAGATGATGGTGCTAGCAAACCTCTCCCCAAAGATGCAGTGGCAGAACCGGAGAGCAACCTTGGGCAGGCCTGGGTCCCAGTCCTGGGGAGATCTGCAATGCTCACCAAGTCCAGGGATTCCCAAACTCAGCAAGCTGCAGAAGCCTTGTAGCAAACAAAATTCCATGCAGAAGTCTAACAGGAAAGTGGCATGCACCACTAGGGTGTGTATGCATTTTTTAAAAAGGGCTTCCTAAAAGGGAGAGATCAACCAAAAGACTTATGTGCATACATATGAGCCTAACCAGTGGTCGAGGACAATAGGGGGGTGGGGGCAAGAGTGGGGGAGTGGGGATTGGAATGGGGGGTTGAGGACAAATATGTGATACCTTAATCAATAAAGAAATTTTAAAAGGGGCTTCCTAATTGCTGAAAAAGATAAAACTGCAAATCAAGTGTAAAGCTACCAAAGCCCTTTAGATTCCTGAGCCACAAGTGATAAAATATTAAATGTATTTGGTAAGTTTAAACATAACATGTATTTGTTGTCACCTTGATGAAAGCCCCGAGGTTGTTTTTCTGAATGCAAAGCACACAAAAAAGCCAGGTTGTAATCATTTAAGCCTCAGCATCTGATTTATTTCTGTGTTTTCTTTGCTCAGGTTTGAGAAAAGTCTAGATTTATATGGATATGTGGTTTGAAGAACTCACCTGGAAATCTCAAAGTACTCCCTCAATAAAATGGTTTGATTCGCTCATTCATTCATCCAACCAATATTTACTGAGTGCCTACTATGTGCCAAGCATTCTGCTGAGGCCTGAGCAAGTAGGAAGAATATTTGTTTCCATCTAAATTACTAATGTCATCATTATTCACATTCTTCACGGTGAGTGGTAGTCAAGTGAAAAGACTCAAGCTTACAATAAGCACCAAATCTCTCTGTGGTAAACTATTACAATTTTACAGCAAGCCGTGTGTAATTGCTCGACGTAAAGTAACATGCCCCAGGTCCATGGGCCTTAGTCTTGCCTGGGAAGAGTACGTGTGACTGAGCATGTATGTCTAATCGTCTGTGCAACTGTCCAGTGTCAAAGAAATACAATCATCCTCACTAATGACACATTTCAAGGAGTTCAAATAAAGAGATCCAAAGGGCCACCCATTCATTCATTTGATATTTATCAAGTTTGTCCTACGTGACAACCACTGTGTTGGTTTCTGGTGCCACAATGAACAAAATGTCTCTGCCTTCCTGGAGCTACATGAATCAATGGACGAAACTAATGAAGGAGATAATTAAGGAGTGGCTGTGCTAAGGAGGAAATGAGCAGGTTGATATGATGCAGTTACCTTAGAGAGGATGGTGAGAGACATTTAGGCTAAGACTTGATACATGAAGAGCAACCAATCTTGAAAAGAGTCCGGGAGAGTCGAAACCAGTTTGGTTTAGTAGGTAGAGTGTTGGCCTGCAGACTTGAAGGTCCTGGGTTCGATTCCGGTCAAGGGCATGTACCTTGGTTGTGGGCACATCCCCAGTGTAGGGGGTGTGTAGAAAGCAGCTGATCAATGATTTTCTCTCATCGGTGTTTCTAACTCTCTAGCCCTCTCTCTTCCTCTCTGTAAAAAAATCAATAAAATATATTAAGAAAAGAAAATAAAAGAGTCCAGGAGAGGTTGCTGTTATCAGTAAGAACAAGGCCCTGAGGCAGGACCGTGCTCAGAGTGTTGGAACACAAGAAAAGGTGATCAGGCTAGAATGGAGTTCATAGGGGACCGTGGTTCATGTGAAATTCCAGAGATGGGCTGAGGCAGCTCATGCAGGGTCTTATAGGCCAGGGTGAGGAGATGAGATTTTATTCTAAATGCAATGAGAAGCTGTTAGGGAGTTTGAAGAGAAGAGGGTTATAATCCCATTTATGGTTTTAAGGGATTACTCAGGTTGATGTGTAATGAATACACTGGAACAAGAGTGGAAGTAAGGGGAGTAGCCAGGAGGCTGTTGGGGTTGTCCATGCCAGCAGTGTGGCAGCTTAGTCCAGGATGGTGACACTGGAGATGGAGAGGCTTGAGAGATGTCTTAGAGGTTAAGTGGAGAGGTCCTCCACATGCACAGATCTCTCCTCTGGAACTCCGGCCTCATAAATCCTCTTGCCTACTTGACATCTCCACCTGGATGTTGACTATGCATTTCAAATTTTGCCCAAACTCAGACTCTTGATCTGTCACCCACAAACTGCTCTTCCCCAACTTCACTCTTTCAGGAGTCATCCTTAAGTCCTCTCATCTCAGTGCCCACTTCCGATTATAAATAAGCCTTGCTGACTCCATCTTCAAAATATATCTGGAATTCAACCACTTTCACCATCTCCACAGCTGCCACCCACATCTAAGCCACCATAACTACTCACTTGGAATATTGCACTAGCCTCCATTTGCTCTCCCTGCTTCTGCCCTTGCTTTCTATAACCAATATGCTCCTGTTAAAATGTAAGTTAGATTATGGCATTCTTCTCTTCTGTTCAAACCCTCCCATGATGTTCCAGAATACAATTCATTTGCTCCCCCTATGACCCTGTCCCCACCACTCTCCTACTGGCTAACCCTTCTCCAGACATACTGGCCTCCTTGCTATACTTTAAATCTACAAACACAACCCTGCCCCAGGACCTTTGCACATGCTTTTCCTTCTGTCTGGCTACAGATGCCTACTTCTGCTCTGCCCTCTTCATTCAGAGCTCTGCTCAAATTTAATCAGCCTAAAAAGGTCTTCCCCACCCCTCCATATAATGAAATAATCTTCATTACTTTGTTATCTAGACTTATTTTATTTTTCTTTATAGAACATATAACCTCCTGACATCATCTACTCCTGTGTTTATTCATTTCTTGTCTATCGCCCTACCCTAAAATGTGAGCACCGGGAAACACCTTAATTTTGTTCATTACTTTACCTTCATCACTTGGACCAGTACTTGGCACACCAAATCGATGCTCCATAATATGTGTTCAATGAATAAATAAAAGTGGTGTTATGGAGCGAAGGGAGGCTAACATTTCATGAAAGGGCTTTCCAGCACTGCTACAAGTGGAGAAGACAGTGCTCCAAAAGAGCCCTCGCTAGATTTGGTGGGAAGAGAGGGCTTTCCAGCACCCAGAAAACCAGTTAGGAAGGCTTCCAGGAGTTAGTGGGAAAGGCACAAAAATCATTCTTGCTTCTATCTCTGTGCTCCAGAAGAAGAGACCCAAGGGAGTGACTAGTCCAAGTGAGCCCTCTGGCCAGAGTGCTGAGAGGAAGGTGTGGACTGCAGATCCAGGAAGAGGCTGAGAAGCCCTTTGGGGGTAGGTGCACCCTAGGGCTTGTGAGGGAGCCAGAGATTTCATGGGGTGGTTGCCTCCTCCTGTTCTCCATGTCTGCAGTGGGCCTGTTGGGAAGAAATGCAGCTGCAGCCTCAGTGGGAGCTGAGCCCTGAGTCTACATGGCCCCTGTCAGGGCTCTATGCCCCAGCCAGCAGCTGGGGAGCCTACAGAGAGGGTACAGTCCACCATGGCCAGTGACAGAAGCAAACCCTTCTTGTGACTATAGCCTGGCACCTCAAACTGTGGGCTACCACATCTTTTGTCTCCAGATTCTCACCACAATCACGCCCAGAGATCTCTATGATTATCCCCAAATTTGCAAAGTGGGGAAATAGGCTCGGAAGGCCAGCAACTTCCACAAAATCAGACAGGAAACTGTGGGGTCTGTACTGGAACTTAGGTCATTGGCTGCAAACTCCACACGGAAGGGGTGCTCTCAGGATGGGTCTGGGCATCCGTGGTCTTTGTGAAATGAACTTTTCTGGGGCAGCACTGCAGGCCAAGGGGAAACAGGACCTGAGCTGTAGGAATTTTCTTTCCAGATGAAGAGACAGTTCCTCCTAGACCAGCACTGGATTCCCAGGTGCCAGAATGTGCATGTTGAGATGGGCAAAAAGTCCATTTTCCTCCCTCAAAGCAGGGACCAGAGCTTGAATTTGGAGCGCTTAGTGCAAAGCTTTCGCAGCAATCCTAGACTATGGCATAGATGCAGCTGGACTTCCAAACGTGTATGGAAGATGGGCAGGAACTGGTCTAATGATCAGGCTGTCACGTCCAGTTTGACTCAGGGTTACTCACTTAGACTCTCTGAGTCTATCTCTTGTTGGCGCTTTTCTCTGCCTCTGACGCTAGCCTTCTGCTTTCTGACTGTCTCTCAGCCTTTCTCACGGACTCACTGTCTCAGCTCTGAGTGTGTCTCCAAATCTCTTCAGATCTGACTTCTACGCCTACCCTGCTTCTGGGTCCTCCTACCCCAAATCAGAGGACAGAGGAGCCCAAAGTCAAGTTGGGAGGCGAGCGCCTTCGGCCAGCGTTTCCTGTGGACACAGGGAGAGTCTTGTGCCGGAGAGGTTTGGAAAGAAGAGTGTGCCCTGTGCCCAGGAGCCAAGTGCAGCCCCGAGGTGCTGCCAGCTTCTGCCTCCCTTCCTGCCCGGGGAGGAGTCAGAGCGCGCGCTCCGGGTATGGAGAGGTAGGGGCCCGGCCCCCGCTGCCACCCAGGGGATCCCAAGCTCCTCCCTTCCCTGCTCCGATTGGCCTCTGGCGCCCCCGCCCCCGGCAGCCCGCTCCAGCTCCGGGGACCAGGAGGCTACTACTGGATAAATAGCCCCCGGGCGCCTGGCTTGAAGTTAGGGGTGGAGGAGCCCCAGGGCACTGCCTCCACTTTCCGGGGTACCCGTCTGGCCGGACCGGACAGGGCAGGGTGGGGTGGGGTGGTGGTCGGGTGTACGTCCAGACCCCCAGCACTTGGCTATCACACGGCGGCGGCCGGAGCTCCAGAGTGGCAAAACGTTTAGGGCAACCCTTGCCGCCGCGGTTGGGCAGAGCCAGGACTGCGCCGCCGCCGCCGACCCGGGCCGAGCTATGGAGCTGCTGTCGCCACCGCTGCGCGACGTGGACCTGACGGGTCCCGACGGCTCTCTCTGCAACTTTGCCACGGGGGCGGACGACTTCTACGACGACCCGTGTTTCGACTCCCCGGACCTGCGCTTCTTTGAGGACCTGGACCCGCGCCTCGTCCACGTGGGCGCGTTTCTGAAACCCGAGGACTCGCACTTCCCCGCGGCGGCGCACCCGGCGCCCGGAGCCCGCGAGGACGAGCATGTGCGCGCGCCCAGCGGGCACCACCAGGCGGGCCGCTGCCTGCTCTGGGCGTGCAAGGCGTGCAAGCGCAAGACCACCAACGCCGACCGCCGCAAGGCCGCCACCATGCGCGAGCGCCGCCGCCTGAGCAAGGTCAACGAAGCCTTTGAGACGCTCAAGCGCTGCACGTCCAGCAACCCCAACCAACGGCTGCCCAAGGTGGAGATCCTGCGCAACGCCATCCGCTACATCGAGGGCTTGCAGGCGCTGCTGCGCGACCAGGACGCCGCGCCCCCCGGCGCCGCCGCCGCCGCCTTCTACGCGCCCGGCCCCCTGCCTTCGGGCCGCGGTGGTGGTGAGCACTACAGCGGGGACTCGGACGCGTCCAGCCCGCGCTCCAACTGCTCCGACGGCATGGTGAGGCTGGAAGCCCGGGGAGGAGTGGGGGCAGCTCTCGGGGTGTATCTATGAAGCATTTTCTCTATGTAGAGTGGGGATAAGGGTTGGACGGGGAACCTTCCGGGGAGTGGATCCCGTGTCATGGGGAGCTGTCATTGGGGTAGCCTTGTGTTTGGGCCACCTGACTGGGAACTCTATTAGAACACGGCTGCACCGTCCGTGATCTGCTCCCACCACACACACACACCTCACACCCCCATGTATTCCTATTTCCAAAGTTAAGATTTGCGTTCCTAGGTAAGTGACTGTCTCCTTCTATCTGGCCTGACAGCTCCAGACAGCTCCTGTCCACCCTAATCCCAACCCCTCCATCAAGGAGGACAGGAGACACGTGGCTGAGACTGGAGGAGCTGGGGTGGGGACTGGGCGAGCTGGAGTGATGCTCCAGGGGCCCCGCGGGCCTGAATCGATCCATCGCCCTTGCCCTTTGCAGATGGATTTCAGCGGCCCCACGAGCGGTGCCCGTCGGCGGACCTGCTACGAGGGCTCCTACTTCAGTCAGGCGCCCAGCGGTGCGTATTGGCGCCTCGTTCTTCCCACGTTTCCCTTTGAACTATCCTGGCTTCCCTCTCCCTAGGACACCTCCCTCCAACCCCCGCCTACCTCCCCCACCTCCCCACCCACCCAGGCTCCACACACACCAATCCTGTAAGGAACGAATTCCTGCAAGGTACAAGGAACGAAATGCTAAGCGCACGGCTCCCTCTCCTCTGGCCGCGCGCTCTCGGTGGATCACGCCGGAGAGTGCCAGGCCTGTGTCCGGTCTGTCCCAGAGCACCAGAAAACCCTGCTTGCTAACCCCAGCCTCTCCCCGCGCAGAGCCCAGACCCGGGAAGAGCGCTGCCGTGTCGAGCCTCGACTGCCTGTCCAGCATTGTGGAGCGCATCTCCACGGAGAGCCCCGCCGCGCCCGCGCCCACGCTGCTGCTGGCCGACCCGCCGCTGCTGGCCAACCCGCCGCCGGAGGCGTCCCCGGGCCCGCACGAGGCGGCCGCCGCGAAGGAGGACGATCCCGGCGCCCCAACCCCTACCCCTGATGTTGCCCCACAGTGCCCCGGGGGCGCGAACCCCAACCCGATCTACCAGGCGCTTTGAGGGTGTCGACGGACGGCCCCGTGTGGAAGGACGAGGCTGGCCACCGCCCGAGGAATGGCGCCCTGAGGTTTCCCGCGCGCCCAAAAGATTGAACCACTGTCCCCAAAGGCGCTTTAAAAGCGGCCCCTCCTGAGGGAGAGAGGCGGGAGAACTGATGCGTTTCCGCCTTCCGTACCCCAGAGCAGGGACACAGTCCTTTTCCCCCCACGCAGCACCCTTCCCCGAGACCCACTGCGGTGACCGGTCTGAGTTCCTCCGTGGGCCAGAGCTGATCCGGGAGGAGCCAAGCCCTTCCTCCTCCTCACCCCTTTGCCACGTGGGTGGGACGCGGGCAAACCTACAGCCCAGACCCACCGGTCCCCAATGCGGTCGGTGGGTCTTGGCCTCTCCTTTCCTGAGCCCTTGGAGACACCAGCGCTTTCCCACCCCCTGCGCGCCCAGCTCCCTTCCCAAGTGTAACAAATGTAATGGTAACCTCTCCCACCCCCTATTCAGGACCACTTTTTGTAATACTTTTGTAATCTATTCCTGTAAATAAGAGATGCTTTGCCGGAGCAGGAGCCCCCAGGGCTGTATTTATGGGAGGCATGGTGTGCGGTGCGAAAGGAACCTTGTATGTTTATATCAAAGGAGGGTGAGCCGCTAGCCTTGCCCAGGTGTTGGAAATAAAAATGCTAATTTATACCAAAGTGGTCCTGGCTTTCCCTAGGGCCTAGGGGCAGGGGCAGACTACTCACCCAATGCAACCACTAGTCCTGCAGGTGGAAACCTGGAGCCAGGAGAGAGAAAGGAGGGGTACACGTGTCTCCAGCATGTGGGGAGGTTCCTAGGACCATGACCAATGTAATCACACATCCATCAGTGGTTTTCTTGTCAGGTGCATATTAGAATGATCTGGGTAGTTTATACAGTGATCTATGCCTCCCCACTTCTCACCCTCCGGAGAATCTGTTTTATCGATCTGCTCCAGACACCTGGTGCCAGATATTGGTATTTTTTTTTCTTTAATATATTTTTTATTGACTTCAGAGAGGAAGGAAGTGGGAAAGAGAGATAGAAACATTAATGATGAGAGAATCATCGATCAGCTGCCTCCTGCACACCCCACACTGGGGATCAAGCTTGCAACCCGGGCATGTGCCCTGACCGGGAATTGAACTGTGACCTCCTGGTTTATAGGTTGACACCCAAACACTGAGCCACACTGGCTGGGGTGGATAATGGTATTTTCAAAAGCTTTCCAGGTGGTTCTGAATGTGCATAAAAGATTGAGAATCACACTTCTCCATGCAGAGTGAAGCAAGAAGGATCCCTGGGGAGTCATGGCCTCAGATGCCAAGTCAGAATCCTCATGGGTACAAAGGGTGTGCTCTGGTGCTCACAGCATTATGAGGAAACACTAAACGAGTGTGAAGGGGCATGGCCAGCTGTCCGGTACTTACAGGCCCTTAGTGATAGGTGTAAACACTAGGGGATGTCACTGAAGATGAGAAAGGTACAGATGTCTCAGCTCAGCCAGAAACCAGGCATGAGAGCATCTCAGCACTCGGATCTCCTAAGACCAGAACCTGAAAGGAGAAGGGCATGTGCAAACCTGCCTCCCCACAGGTGGCATAGATGCTCTCATCAAGAAATGAACACTCTGGGGCAGCGAAGGAGCCACTGATTCAGCCAGGGTGCTGGGGAGGAGATGCCACTTGAGCTGTATCTTGAGAAACGAGAAAAATAACACAATGCTCATAGACACACACACAACCACAAGGGAGAGCTCATAGACACACAAACACGCCCAAATACACACAGAGGCACTTCTGCCCTCCCATCCTCCTCTTGAAGGATAGCCTGGCAAAAATTTCTCCCCATTGACATGCGACCCCAACCCCATCCCTAACACACACACACTTGCCACCAAGACATCAGTGCTTCCTAGTCCCACCCTTACAGACCCTTTTCCCCTCGAAAACCTTATAAGCCCACTCACAAGGGCTCTTCTCACCAAGTGTGGGGTCCTGGGGGAAGCAGGCACGATGTGACACCAGCCAGCAGGAAGGGCCTCATTTCCTATCTGAGGATTTGCTCTCCGCTCCCAGGAGAGCCTCTACTCTCCCCAGCGCAGGGTCCCTGAGGAGCCACCAGAGTTGCTCTGCTTCTAATGGTCCTCAGTGTTTCTCCTGGCTGCTTCCCCAGATGTGCCACGGCGTTTCTTACGCTCTGTGAGAACCCTTGGGGGCTCATTCATGGATTCATTCATTTAACAGAGGCCAGATCCTATGCTGGGTAAAAACAGAGACCAGTGGACATGGTTCCTGCCCTCGGGAAGCACCCAGACATTTGGGAAAACTGTATTGGTCAGCAGCTGGTTACATTACAATGGTTTGAGTGCTATAATGTGGGCACATGCAGCAGAGGAACACTGCAGGGACAGAGGGACAGACAAGTAGGTCGCCCCTAATAAGAATCTAGAAGGCGTTGGTCAGGGAAGAGGAGCCAAATGAGGTTGCCCCAAGCGGAGGGAATGGAGGGAACAGTAAGTGCAAAGACCCAGAGGTGAAGGAAAGCAAACTGTGCCTTCGTGGAACCAAAACTGCTTCCAGGAAGGGGCCAGAGGTGAGATGGGGGAAAAAGCGGAGGCAAGGTCACAGTATCCTGAAGGCAATGGAGAGCCATAGAAAGTCTAAACAGGGGAAGGACTCAAATATATCTATATTTTAGAAAGCCCAGTCTAGGCTGGTAGGATGGGAGACATGCCAGAAGTGCCACATGTGGCCTGAACTGGGGCAGTGGCTGGCGATGGGAGAGAAAGCATAAGAATGGAAATAGTTGTGTCAGATAAAGCCTAGGCATTGAGGGTACAGTGGAGAACCTGGAAGGCACAGTCCTCACCCTCACATGGCTGAAAATCCACTGGGGAAATAACCATTAGACAAAGAACCCAAGGGATAGATGCAATGTTATAAATGCCGAGAGGTGCTTATAAGAAACAGTAAAGAGGGGGCATCTGTAATACTTTCAACAACAAAGATCAATTCTTTACAAAGTAAAGAGTGTGCCAAAAAGGGTTTGGCTCAGTGGATAGAGCATCGGTCTTCAGACTGAAAGGTCCCAGGTTCGATTCTGGTCAAGGGCGCGTACATTGGTTGCGGGTACATCCCCAGTAGGGGGTGTGCAAGAGGCAGCTGGTCAATGTTTCTCTCTCATTGATGTTTCTACTTCTCTAACCCTCTCCCTTCCTGTCTCTAAAAAGTCAATAAAATATATTTTTTTTAAAAAGTAAAGAGTGTGATGTCAGATGATAATGGGGTATGACAAGTTAACCAGGTCAGAGAGGAGGAGGGAATTAATTACAAAAATGAAGAGGGCTCTGGTAGCCTAAAGGGAGCGAGTGTGCAATTAGAAAAAGGTGTCCCTCCTTCCTGAGGACACTGTGGTGCACAAGGGCTCACGGATGGGCAGCCACGACTGGACGGCAGCCCCACTCACTTCTCAGCCAGACGCACTTGTGCAGTGAGCAGCCTGCGTGTTACATGGGAGAGGCAATAAGGAATATGCAGCCCACCAGATACAATGGAAAGGAGTGGGCAAGACTGGCGAGAAAAACAAGCAAGAGGGGGAAGGCAGAAGAAAGAGGAGATGAGATGGAAGATAAATACAAAAATGATGATGGTGCTGCTGATGAACAAAAGTTGGTCCTAGCTCAGGTTTTATCTCCTGTATTAAATATTAAATCCTCTCCACACAACTCACCACTGTTAAAGGGAAATGTTAAAATGTGGGACATGGTGATATTTGTTTTTACACAGTCCATAGTTATTTTTTTCCCCCCAGACAACATTTAACAGCAGGTTCTAATCCATACAGAACTTCCCCAGTATCAGGGGAAAGTGAGTCCAAGAGGATGTCAATGGCTGCATGATTCCTGAGATCTAAGCCGGGCTGTGCTGGTGACCCGTTTTGAGATTTTGAGAATGTGGCTTATCCCAACTGGACTTGGGCTTTCTCTCTGTGGAGGAGATTAGCGAGTTTAAAAGGTATGTTCTGAAATTCTTTAGTAATTCACTCAAAGCATTTCAGAAAAAGATAAATGAAGTACATTTTTTTTTTCTTTTTTACAGATAAGGGAACTGGGACCATAACAAATAGATTTTTCTCAGCGTAAGCAAGTAATTTATAACCTCCTGCTTTACAGATCCTCCTTTTACTTTTCTCAATGTTTTGTTGAGATATAATTCATATACCATAAAATTCGCCCTTTTAAAGTGTCCAATACAGTGGCTTGTACTGTATTCCCAACCTTGTGCAACCATCCCCACTAACCTATTTTCATTTCCATGGGTTTGCTTCTGGGCAATGGAATCACACACTATGTGGTCTTTTGAGTCTGGCTTCTTTCACTTAGCATAATGTGTTCAAGGTTAACCCATGTTGTAGCACTTATCAGTACTTCAATCCTTTATTTTGCTGAATAATATTCCATTGTATAGAATAATATTCCATGTCACACTTTGTTGATCCATTCATCAGTTGATGGATATTTGGGTTATTTCCATTTTTTAGCTATTATACATAATGCTGCTATGAACATTGACCTACAAGTTATTGGGTAAACATATGCTTTTAATTCTTTTGTGCATATACCTAAAAGTGAAATTGCTGGGTATATCATAACTCTATGTTTAAATTTTTGAGGAACTGCCAAAGATTTCCCCAAAGCAGCTGCACCATTTTACATTCCCATTAGCAATGTATGAGGGTTCCAATTTCTCCACATCCTAAGAACACTGTGATTGTCTTCATCCCAGCCATCATCCTAGGGGGTGTGAAGTGGTATCTCATTGTGGTTTTGATTTTGCACTTCCCTAATGATTAACGATGCTGAGCATTTTTCTTGTGCTTATTTGCCATGTGTATACCATCTTGGATAAATTGAGGTGTTTTTTTTTTTAATCCTTTGTTTATTTTAAAATTAGGTTATTTGTCTTTTTATTGCTGTTAAGGGGAGG